AATATGTTTTCTTTTAAAATAAATGTTTTATTAACGGAATAATAATTTTTTTTCTATCACACTTTGGACACAATCGATAACAAAAACAAAAAAAAATACTATCAACTTAAAGAATAAAAATGATTCCGAGAAAATGTGAAGTAACGTGCAAACATAGTGCTTAAAAATAAAGTTATACATAACACTTGTTATATACTTAAATTAAACAATATAATTTATATGTATAAATAGCTGATGTTAACAGTTCAAATCAGTTTTAGCACAATTTTCAATTGAATATGTATAAAAGTAACAAAAAGACACAAACTGCAATTACTGCACCCAAAATAAGAGAATCGCGTTTCTTTTTTATATTGATGCGTTGTATTAAACTAAAAAAAGATTGAATTAATAAGTAACAATTAAATATAATATATATAAATAAAAAGGTATTACCTCGATATAAGTGGAAAACGATTTGATATATCATTGAAACGTGTCTGCAGACGTTTAAAGGCTTGTCGTTGTGATAATAAATGCTCCCTGGTTTCGATAGCAATATTTATTTGATCATTTATCATTTGATTTGAGCTATAATTAAATTAATTAAAAAATTGATTTTTGTTAATTACAAAAAAATTTAATTGAATTAAAAATAATTACTTCGCTACATGTCCACCCTCTTTTAAATACATATCGCGTCTACTTAAGCCTGAATTTGTCGGACTGTTGGTAGATAATCCCGAGCCACGTAGCAACTCTTCACGCTCCATTCTAGTTGTATGATTAGCGCATATTTTATTGAACTCTTGTCTGTAGCCCTGCAAAATTTCTCGATGCCTTTGCAATGTATGCATGGCAGCTGCACCTGTTGCCGGTAGTTCTGACATAGTCTCATTTATCGTAGACAACTAGTATTAAAAAAATTAGTATATTGCACGCAACAAGTTCATCAATTGTACAAATTAATATATATGGAATAACATTATTAACATATTATTGAACATTATTTACCCTATCTAACATTTGTGCGATTTCTTCAGACAACGAATCGAAGACATGTTCTCCTAACAATGGTGATGTGTCAGCTGTTGTGTTGTGCGCAGTTGAAGTGCCTGCTCCAATTTTACTGAATGCAACTAACTTGAGATCAATTTCATTCTCCAAATGCCGCGCTTGCTTTCGCAATACTACGCATTATAAAGTAGGTTTTATTAATATATATGAAATGCATTTCTTTCAAAAATATGTTTACCATCGTAATTAGAAACACCCATCATTTAACAAGTCTCTAGCAAACGAAAAATTTTTACTGATTCACTTTTGATAAACTGTAAATTTTGTTGTTTTTGACGTTTCATTTTATTGTTTTTTTTCGTTGTCTATTTTTGTTGGTATACTTTTAGTTGGCAACGTGGCAAAAAGGGTTGTATTATTCAAATATAATTAATAAAATAATATTGCATATTGCAATATTTGCATATAAATATTTATATATATATTACGATTTTTATTTGCATTAATTTAAAAAAATAAATAGTAATATTGTTAAATAAATTATATTATTGTTGCTTTTGAATCCATACACAATATGCGGTTTTAGAAGCTTTTAAGTGTGGCAAAAAAACAACAAGTTGCTCGCTTAAAGTTGCTAAAATGTACGCAAAACAACAACACTACTCTCTCTATTGAAGCACCTGGCTGTGAAGTGGCCAAACATTTTAGCAACTACACAAAAAAATGTCACCAAACTATAAGTTACTATTGTAAACCTTCATCAAAAATTTCAAAGCATATTCCAGACATATGTCAAAAGATTGTGAACAAAAATTCAAACAAATTAAAACGTTTCACAAATATGAAATATTTAAATAAATAAATATTTTAAATATACATATAAATATGTACAAAAATTTTTAAGAGCACGTAAAGAAAGGATAAATGCAAAACAGTTTTTTTAAATATTTTAACTTATTGGGTGCTAACAAGTTAATATTTATACAAGCATAAGTATTCTAAACTATTATTAATTAAATTGCAAAAGATAATTTTTAAATTTAATCAGAATTGGAAGAGCATTTTGAAAATTGCTTTTAGTTTATTATTCTTTTTAATTTTAGCTTTATTATTTATAACAAATATTATTATGTTTTATAAAAAGATAACATTTGACAGATTGCAACAGTGATACCAATATCTCGCTTAGCGCCTATAGTAAGCAACTTGCTGTTTTCTGCCACAATTGAAATTAAACAGCTTAATGTTCGCGTTACTCGTTAAGTTAGATTAAATCTCTTATCACCTTCGTTCAACGCCTTCTCTTTCATTATTATATTATTATCCCGCTCTATCATCAATCCTTACCTTTTTTATCAATTCTCTGAGTTGAATAAATCGTAGAATTAAACCTACTTAACGGTGACTTATTTCTTCATCTGATAAAAGATCCACACCTAAATACCGTTTATCAACATTAATATCGCTATCATAGTTCAATCCAAAAAGTCCTTAAGATGAAGTAATCGATTTGATTGCTTTTTTATTTTAGTAAGCAGCTGTTTTGGGAAAAAATATATGGACTTGAATTGTTCAATTAAATTCAAGCATATCTAGTTGTTGTAGCCAGAGAGAAACTATATAACATGTTTTTTATGTCTTAAAAGAAATTAAGACGTATTAGGTTAGGATATAGATTTGACAGGGAGTAAGTATGAATAAAAGTTGTTTGATAAGAAATTGATGTAAGTTGCATGGAATTTAATTGAAACCACTCTGAAACGAGGTGAAAAACTCCCGATTGTCACCTCAATGGATCATACGAGCTTCAGTTGGAGGCACACATACGAAATTGACGTATTTATGTGTGACAAATAATTGTTTTGCATATAATTATACCCTGATTCTAATGAGGCTAGCAAAATACTTGCGGCACAAGGAAGGTGTCATTCTTCCCTTGAAACATCAGGAGGAAGTCTGTTACGAACTTTGTTTTTGTTGCAATCGTAGACTCGAAGACGATACTGCATCTGTGTAGGGAGCTATTAGTTAACATTTATATTCGACTTCAATGATGTTAGTTCTATTGCAATAGAAGTCGATCTTTTCATGATACGAAGAAAGTTATCGACGGATCTCTTCTTCATGAAGGGGGAGTTCGACTGATCATGTTCTCATTGGGATGTACATCTCTGTAGCACGCAAGTAGATATTATACAGTATTTGATTGTGCTCCTTAACTGAAAGCATTTTAGATTCTGCATAAAGGTGGTAAACAAGTAGTGGTTACGGGTCGAAAAATGCAGAGCTGCATATGGATATATTATTAATTGGCTGTTTTCAGCGTAGATGCTTTTAAAATAAGAAATATCTGATTAAAAAATCGACCTAAACACCTAATACCGTCCATAGAACCAATATTAGCATAAACAATATAAACATTTATCCTAAAATGAATTACTAATGGTGTGTATAGAGCATTACTTTAAAACAAAATTCGGTATTATGTTTGAAAAAATACTTTAATGTATATTTTAACTTAATAAAATTCTTAAAACAAATTTTAAAGTAAATTAATTACCAACTTATGTAAAGAAAACTACTTCTAAACTTAAGGAAATCGAATAATAAGGAGTATTTTTAAATTAAAGTTAAACTTTATCTGTAGCGTTTTACATTTTGCTTAACGATTTATCTAAAAATTAATAGCTGCTGTCTTAGAAGTAAAAAAAATACAAACTATATGCTTCTTCAATAAAGTACCAGAGCAGACAAAAAAAAATATATTCAATTAAATAAACGGTATTAATTTAAACCGATAAATTTACACTCAGCTGAGTGTAAAGCTGCGTAATACGTCTTATTTTAAATTAAATCGTAAAGTAAATTATTACTGATTTCTAGTCTTTGTCACATGAGTGACTTTTGACTGCTTACATTTCTCAGTGAAGAGAGACTGCACTGCTAGCTTGACAGAAAAAGCAGTCAAAAATGTAAAAATTTCGCAGACGTTAAAATCAATACGAAAACTTATTAAACGTAAATTAATTTATATAAAAAGTTTAGGCGATTATTTATAAAACGCTAATCTAATGCATATTACGAGTTGTGTCAGGCATTTATCAGTTTAAAAAAATACCACATTTATACTTAAAGTACCGCATGTAATAGAACCTAAGATTAATTAAAATTATAATTAAGTAACTACACTGTACTGCAAACTTACAAATGTGCTTAGCTAAAATATATCAATTACTTAACTTAATTTCTAGGTTCTAACTTATATTATTGTCTATTATTTACACCATCAGCGCTGTTGCTATTACTGAAGGCGTGCTCCATATTCTTGACGACCACATAGTTTGTTATATGATTGATGGCTTCATCTTGCATACGCTCCGGCCAACGTTTCATATACGATTTTATAAAATCTCCAAACGTATCTATTTTGTCTGGTGTATTTTTATGATTATCTACGATATTTTTAACAATATCCACAAACTTGTCATAATCATCGGTCGATTTTTTCACTTTGTTATAATTTGGAACAACACCATTTGCTGCATTTCCAGTGTTTAATTGATCCATATTATCAGTTAAACGTGCTGATGCAGCAGCCACGGCGGCTGCAGCGGCAGTCGAAGCCATAAAATTAACTTCATTGCCTGTGTTGGGCGGTGGTTGTTGAGAGTGATCCATGAAATGCCTGTGCATTCCATATTCAGATCTGCTAAGCAAAAATAAATTAAAAATATGTTTAGAATATGATTGCAGTAATGGAATAATAAAAGTGCTTACTTGTAAAACCCTTCGGAATTACTATTGTTAAACTCTTGTTGAGACATTTGATTTTTCCAAACTGGTGATTCTGCTGATGGTGGTAAGTTTGTTGGGTTTGATGCTGGTGTCATAATACGTTTATCTCTAAAAACAAAAAAAAAAGAATAATGATTAAATGCAATTTTTTTGATGGGTTATGGTTAAATGGTAGCAACAATAAACTAAGAGCACATCCAAAATTATGGAGTTTTTCGATACTATGATAGAACAAATATTAGAAATAATTGATAAAAGCTGGAAATCTCTTATTAATGAAAGTTAAATATGAAATGAACAATAGATTAACTGGAGAAAGCTGAAGACCTCTTACTAATTAGAAATTTCATATGGAACTAACAAAAAAAACTCAATTATTGAGCATAATAAACTGACATAATATGCAAGAAATCTCCCTAACATTGAATCCAACAAAATCGAGAGAGAAAATTCATATGGATATCACGATCTCAATTGCGCATTTCTGCTTTGAAATGAAACTATAATCAAAATGTTATATCTATCTTAATTAAGATATAATAATGTATATGCAAGGAAAGTATTTCACGCATCACGATAATAGTTTTTTTATTATCTCCCAGTATATCTTCTAGTATTAGCATTGAAGTTTATTTTCTAATTCCTAAGCTCATTTAATAAAGTTACGGCTGGATAGAAATGATTGCTTTGACCACTTATGTTTACTTAAGCACATATAATGATCTGTTATGAGGCCATAGTCCGTTTGCCAAATCTGAAGGGACACCTTAAAGTTAGAAGCATATAGCGCACAAACAACGTCTGTTTGATAAAGTGCGACTGCCCTATTCCACCAAAAGAGAACCAATCTGACAGGTCAATAAAGTTTGCCTTGTTCCTAATTTTAAAGTAACAGTTCTGTCAGGTCAATTAGATAAGGGACAACTATGATTTTTCTTCTTTTCTAGGAGAAGGTTCTCTCTAAATGAAGACTCTTCTCTACAGAGTTATAGCCCTAATAAAAGTATTTGGAAAGTAGACTAAATTTTATTGCATCCATTTTAAATAATTGTCCAGTTGTTGTTGTAGCCCACAGGGATCTGCTTGTGTAACCACTTTAAGTGATGTTAAACAGCACTTAGTTGTCTTTGACGAATTGCTCCGGGACGTAGAGTCAGCCGTTTTTAGAACCTGAAGTGTTCTGTCAGTACTGGCATCATACTTGGATCCGATTCAGTTGAAGCAGTGGGCTGTTGCGACTTTTATCTAAATTGGACCAGATAAGTCTAATAATCTGACAAAAATCTTTTATCTGCCTAGACCTCATCGTTTATTAAAACTACGACTTGGTACGTGCAGTCTCAAAAAATTATTGACGAATAATTAAATATAAGAAATAATTTCAAGATCAAGGTCCAAGGTCTGATGGGTATTTGACAAGACTCGAAAGAGCTGTATGGACAGCTAAAAATAATATTAAAAGAATTTTTGTTGTTGCATATCACTACTTTTCGCAACCTTTCTTAAAACCACGACTAAAATTTTATTTAATGAATATGTTCAATATTTTATATAATAATCATATTGTATTCTATTAACTTACTTGTAGCCTTGATGCGCTGCCAAGCTTTTAAAAACATCATCTACTTGGCTATAAAATTTCCAGGTACTTATAATACCTGTTGCTTCATAAGTTTTCTGCTCCTGTCTGTTATTTTGAATATATTAAAAAGTTTATTATATATTTAAATTATTTTAAAATAAATTCTATGCTTACCTAAAACGTTGAGTTAAATTATTCACTTTAAAATGTACTTCTAATGCAGTCACTGGTACTCCTAGGCCAGTTAATTGCTTTGCCATAGCCACGTATAAATGGCCATTGCGTTTAATTGTGCGTAACTCATACGCGCAAACTTTCCATAATTTAATTAATTCTAGAACTCCATTATCCTCCCATTGTCGACGCTTTTTATTGAATTTTTCATACTTCAATATAATAAAAACAAATAAATATTTTATTAATAATATAATATAATAGAAAGTATGTGTAATATACTTACAGGCATTTCACATGGGGTCTCAATTTTGGCGAATCAATTTTCTCAAGACCTTGGTGTTAATGCAAAGCTAATCCGATTGGATAAGTGATTTAGTTTTCACACATTATAATACCATACTACCTGAAAACATTACATAACAAAAAATATTATAGTATTATATATAGTATTATCATATATAGTAATATTATTATTATAGATATATGAGTAATACTTAGAGTTGCAGGTAATTAAGTTAAGTAATAAAATTTGATCAAAAATTTTTATATAGCAGAATTATAAAAATTATATGATTTACTATATATATTTTCTGTTTTTTATTATAATTTATTATGGATACAAAAAAATTCATACAGCACTTAGAAGAAATTATAGAATTTCAAATAAAATTTAAATTGACATTAACATATTTTTTGTTTGTGTTGTTGTTGTGATTTGAGTTAGTGCTATTGCTTACTTTTACTCTATTGTGGCTTGGGGGCTTATCTCTGCCCCACACTAAACTTTAACTATACTAGAATCATTATCATTTATTTATTTTCTAACTGATAACGGACGGTAGATCAGCATACCTTCCTGTGCGTCCTGAGGTGGACTTAAGGTTTGTTAGAGCGGGGTTGGGCAACGTATCAACTTTTGTGAACAATTTTAAGGCTTTGTCCTTGATATACTTTTTCACTGAGTCAATTCTATGTTGTTTGTGTCAGATATATCTATATAGATAGATATATGTAGATACATATGATGTACAGTATGTAAAGAACGAGTTTACACATTGAAATAAAATTCACTTTTTTAACTTATAGTCGCAAAAACACTGATTTTCATTTAAATATATATATAAGTTCTTTAATATAAACTTTATTCAATGGAAACATTGTCATATAAGTATTGAATATATTCCTTTGTAGTATCTTTGATATATAGTAGCCTTTTTTAAGGAACTTTTTGAGGCCATTATTGGTTGGTATCAAATTTCACTTCTGCAGTATTTTAGTTTTACATGATCTGTGGATTTTTTATTGCTTTTGACTCACTTTTTTTTTACACATTAACCACCTTATTTTGGAAAAGACTTAATTTCGAAGATTTGGTAAGAAAATATACAATTTTTCTGGAGTTTCTAACATTCGACATCCTAACAATATTTGCTTTGCGCTTTGAGTTATTTTGGTGATTAAAATTAAACCATATATATATTTCAGGAATCCAGGAAGTGATTTCTTAGTTCCAAAATAAAAAAATCAGCGACAGATAGGGCCACGTTTCATTTTTAATACTAATCAGGATAGAGTGTAGAAAAGTGTGACTCGTTAACCCAATTGAATAATGGTTATTTAAATTCTATGGTGACTCCGTAATATTTATTTCAATTGTAAAGAACGGGTTTACTGAATTTGGTTGTGGGCGTTTTACCAGAAGGTACACCTAGTGTTCTGGATAATCTATTAAACTTTATTTTTAGTACTAACCAATGTATGTCATTGTATAGGAGTGTGATATATACTCCATCTTTATTATGGTTATATAAATTCCATTGTGACACCGCAATATCTATTTCAATTGTAAAGAGTGGGTTCACTAAATTTCGTTGTGGAAATTTTACCAAAAGTTACATGTAGTGTTCTAGACGTTCTATTAAAGTTAATATAATCGAGGTAAGCTTTCTTTTGGACATTTTTTTTAAAGTTTATATTTAATACTAACCGACATACATTGTATGGGAGTGTAAAACATACTCCATCTTATTTATGGTTATATATATTCTATGGTCACTCCGCAATATCTATTTCAATTGTAAAGAATGGGTACACCTAATGTTCTAGACGTTCTATTAAAGTCAATATATTCGAAGTAAGCTTCTTTTGGACATTTTTGAGAAATAGTTTTAGTAGGTTTAAGTCTACCACCGATACAATTGATGCTTTTCATTAAGAGAAGGAGTAGAGGTTAAGAACTAACTTTTAATTCAAGTCATTGACAGTAACAACCACAGAAATGGATGGGGTAAAGAATAGTATGTATAAAATTGGCATAGCAATAACAACAATTATTTTAATGCTTTAAATAAATATTTTTATAAAAGTAGAATATTTTACAGTGAAGAATACCCAGCTTTAAACAAAGTAGATTTGCATTTACTTCACTTGTACTTTATTTGTATGTATATCAATCCAATAACAGCTGAAAATTTGCCGGTTAGCTAAAACCCAAAAAGGGTTCAATACTCAGCCAATGGAACAAATTTGATTTTATGCAGGTCAAAGCGCTTAAGTGGAAAATCATCGTTACGCACAACACACATTTTTAACCACAGACATTCATCATAAGGCAATTAAACCCACCAACCGCGGGTACAACTTGCACTCGGCAGGGGTGAATTAGAGTCTTTCAAGGTTACCACCACCACTCGTTAAGTTAAATAAAAACAAAAAAAATTTAATTTATGTTTTCCTTTACGATGCCCGCATGTCGTACGTATTGTTGTTTATGGATGCAATTGCTTTTGCCAAATTTGGCTGTTGACACAAGCTTTAGGAGTGTAAACAATGCAATTGACTAGATTTCTCTCTCAAACACGGCACACACTAAATGCAATAAACACAACACAAAAACAAAAAAGAAAACACAGCAATACAGCAACAGAAAAAAAAAAATTTGCTAAAATAATAATTGCAAATATTATGATACATAATTATTGATTGCGAATGATCATTAAATTTCCATCTCCCCGGCACTCACACATATGCACTGACATTTTAATTATAGAATTCACAAATTACAGCAACAACAAATGTAGCAGTTAATAAAAATTGTAAACAAATAAAATCAGCACTGCAAAAATTTCCAAAATTAATTAACATTTTTATTATTTAAAAAGAAATTAATAAGTTTAAGAGCGTATTCCGATTTTCTCTTAGTGTATTAAAAAAATCGTACTAAAGCAGATTTTCAAGTATACAAAACCGAAAGGTCTTCTTCTTCAAAGAAGATGTCTGCCTGTGCCAGCCTGCTGCCTGTGCTTTGACTTGCCCTATTAGCACAAAGAAGAGGAAGATGGGAGATGTTTTTTCGCTTATTGCTTTTGCCGTTTTCATTACATGTATATATATATATATAATTTTTTTTAATTCGTATTTTTATTACTTGTCACTGGCACCAACTATGTGCAAGTAGCAATTTATCTATTCACATCACTTTATAAATTTTATTAGATAATTAAACCAGCACACAATAACACCAAATATTAATTACTTTTTCACGTATTCAGTATTTTTGGTTTGCATACGAAATTGTTTGATGGAAACAATAACAAATATTAGGGTTTATGCTGTGGAGTGCAATCACACTAAATAAATAAACTCAACTTAATAATAATTACAATATTTTAAAAAATAAATGATGTAATTACTTTAATGATAATTAATTAAATTCTGCTCTTTGCGCTCACACGGAACACAACCGCACTACACCACTAAAAAACTAATAATGATGATGTAGACACATTTAGAAAAAATAGCAATAATGAATTTGAACATTTGTATTTTCCTTTGATATCATATAGCTGTCTCGTTCTCTTTCACATGTTGTGCACAGGTATTGCTGTTGTTTCTGATTTTGTTTTGGGTGTTTTCTAACATGAAAAGGAATGGGAATTGAAGAATCCCATTTATAAACTAAAAACAAAAAATATTTAAAATTTTAGTTGTTTTTATATAATTTGTTTATTTTTCATTAATAAATTTTTTTTGTCTGTCTTAAATTGAATTGATTAATACATAAGTTTTTACTTATAATTTAGAAAAATATAAGAGAAATAATAAAATTTCATAAAACAAAATGTATAAATAAATAATATAAATATAATATATCAGAATATAATAATGTTATATAAATATATAAATATAAATATATAAATAAATAATATTTTATATAAATATGTAATATTTAATATTAAAAATAAATTTTTTTATTAATGTATGAAAAAAGTAATATATTTGAAAGGAATTTTTTTTACTTTATAACAAAATCTTTTATTTTGTTTGGTATTTCAAATTTCATATATTTTTTACAAGCACAAACCCGTTGACAGACATTTTTCCAACTCCGCTATCTATATGTCCACAAACATTCATCGATAATATAACATTTGGGTATCCCTATCACTAAGTTATTTTACCGGGCGATAAAATTCTTCCATCTAATATTTTAACCTAGAATATTGCATTTCCCTGATGTACGATATATCCCATTGACATACTGAATAATATAAGGTATTAGCTCGCTCAATTTCTGGCCCTTTATCTGAAGAATCACGTCCACGTGTCTCGCACAATCTCGTTTAACAGAAACGATTACAAAAAGCTCTTGCACAGAATTTATGCCCCCATTTTCACTTATTTCCAATTTTGGCTTAAGTATATTTGTTGCAAAAAACTAAGCTTTCTTTGTGAACTGAAATGAAGTTTCGGTTTTTGACCTTTACGGTCAATGGCTGAAATTTGACCATTTTTCATTTCTAAGAGGTGATTTTAGTGGATTGAAGTCTCACACTATGGCTTTCGCTGCTTTCCACCTATCGGAAGAAAAGGGTGTCGCTTTAAAATTAGATGAAGTGAGTACCGGCCACATAGGAAACCAAGTTTTCCAACTCCGCTATCTATAAGTTCTCAAACATCCTATCGTATACATGACATTTGGGTATTCCTATCACGAATATACTTTACCAGGCAGTAAATTCTTTCCTCTGATATTTTTCACTTAGAATATTGCCTCTCCCAGATATACGATATTTCTTATCGTATTGGTATTGAAGCCGATATATATATATATATATATATATATATATACATATTTTCATTATTAACACAAATAATAAATTAAATGATTGATGGATAAATTAATTGAATGGTTAAAAAAACTATAGTCAGCGCACCATTTAATACTCCCCGAAGAAAATGTCTGGCTGCGAGTATGATCTCGACTTCTTTTAAAACGTAAAACGACCATATGTTAAGTCAGTTTAAGCGCCATGTTATACCGAGAGTCATGGTCACGTCAAGTGTCAAATTGTTATACACATATAGACTGCAAATAGAAAAAAAAATTTGCATAAGAAAAAAGTTATCAAAAAGTATTTTAAAAAATAATAACAAGATATATATAAAAATATATTCATACAAATATTTAATGAAATTGTGTAGCATTTCTTCATTGACTCACTGTTATTTTGATTAATAATTAACACATATCTTCTTCTTTTATACTTCTTGCATTACTTCGAACATGTTGCTTCCAACAAAAGAAAACTCAACATTCAGCATTAATTCATACCCACAGCATACATTTCGTACCGTTTATTATCATTAAGAGAGTCA